CTCTCTCTCTCTCCCTCTCTCTCCCTCTCTCTCCCTCTCTCTCCCCCTCTCTCTCTCCCTCTCTCTTTCTCTCTCTCCCTCCCTCTCTCTCCCTCTCTCTCTCCCTCTCTCTCCCTCTCTCTGTCTCCTTCTCTCTCTCCACCCCACCCACCACTTACCCCATTCTGCCCCGCATCCATACACACTAATTAGGCCGACATTTGTTCACAGAAGGAGCCCTGGCCACCTGCCAGGGGTCATCCCGGGTCGACCGAGGCACGCGACACATTTAACACACCACGTTTTCCTTGTCTCTCTCCCTTCTCGCTTATTCCATGTGTCGGTTCCTCCTGCGTTGACTCCATTTTATCTATATATATCTTTATCTGTTTTTATACAAGGGATCGTTATGTCTGTCCGTCGGTCTTTACACCTGTATGTCTTGTCTATCATGTCTGTCATGGGCTCAAAAGTAATTCTCTGAAACTGACTTTATGCTAGTTTGTCGTGATATGTCTGTCTCTGTTAAGGCTTTTTTATTTATAATATTAATATCTGCTCATGTGTCTGTATATACATGACGAAGTCTGTCTGTATTTCTGATAATGTTTTGCTCTATACTCTTCTGCTTGTACATGTCTTCCATTCTGTCTTCATGTGTCTTCCAATACATATATCTTCTTGTCTTCCATTCTGTCTGCATATGTCTTCCGCGTCTACTTGTCTCTGTCTGTCTGTCTTGTCTGCATATATGAAAGGTCTTAACTCCTCTCTGTTGTTGTCCACAGACGTGTTGGACGAGCAGAAGCTAAGCGAGTCGGCGGCGCTGGCCTCAGCTCGAGTCACCTCCTCGGACGACGAGGACATCGATGGCAGCAACAAACTCTCCAGCCCCGGCAGCAACATCACCGTGATCGCAGACATTACCTGCTTGACCCCAACCTTGACCCTCGTAGCTCGGACAGACGCTGCCCTTGCCGAGGGCGACCGTTGCTGTGTCGAGGCTGGTAACTATAGCAACCGAGGCACGGCGGACGAAGAGCGTGGAACTGCCGGAGAGAGAGTCCCCGACCGTGAGCGTTTGGTTCCAGTCGTTGGGGAGGGCACTTCTGATATGGGACGAGATGTTGCAGACTCGAGAGAGAACACACAGGCGGACCACTGTCCACTGAGACAGGCCGAGGGACCGACGGAATGTGCGGGCAGTGTTGTGGTCAGCAAACCAACGGACAAGGCTAGAGGTAAGCGTTGCTGTCATTGATTGAGCCCTGTGTTTTGTCTCTGCTGTCTTAACTGCCTTGCACACACTGATGCCGCGATAGCTAGTTATTGTCTGGAGACGTGGACGTTGGGACAGTCGAGCTAAGTGAATGTTTGTCTTATTTGTTTTGTTAGTAATAGTAGCTTTGGTGGCTGTGATATTGATAGTGGTGGTATAAATAGTAGTAACAGCAGCAGTGATTTGTTTTTTTTTAAATCCAGAAACTATGAGTTGTAAACCCTTTGGCTCGGTACTATGGATATCGCAATCCTTCGCCTTGATTCCATGATAGGTACCGTAAATCTGCCTACACCCTCCCCTTTTTCCAGCGTGGAACTCGGACCATAAGGATTTTCTAAACCGGTCGCCGCACATCTGGTTTACTCAACTTAGCTAGCGCGCCGGGTGTGATAGTAATAGTAGCAGTTGTAATAATAGTATTGCAGTAACATTCGTAATAGTAGTAGAAGTGGCAGTAGTAGCAGCAGTAGAACTTGTGAGTGTAATATTAGAAATGATGGTAGTATTGATTGCAGAAGTACCAATGGTAGTGGTGGTTTTGGAAGCAGCAGTGACATCAGCTGTAACAGCGGTAGTGGTGGTCGCATGCAAGCAAGTACACCTGGTGTTCATTGTCTGGTGGCTTGCAATGATGTGTTTATGTGCAGGAGTAGGGGAGGTGGGTTGTGAAACAAGCCTTGCTTGAGACACGCTCGGACCTAGGACCGCTGGAGAGGTAGTTGAGTGCTCTAGACACTGCGCCAGCTCCGCCGTCTAGTGTATGTGCATGGCAAGCAAGTGAAAACACATAAACTTATCGACATACGAATAGACAAACAGAAACGAAATACACATACACACACAGAAATAAAACTTATGATGTCCGTGAAGAAATGCGGTTCCTGCCGTAAATACGTCACGAGAAATGGGATTATCGCAACACAGACATTGCCCCAAGAGATGTGAATTCACGATAAAGGGGCGGGTAAATGCACAACATTTGAGGTTAGGCAGGGGGTGAGCGGAAGTGTGTCGCATTTAGCATGAGATCTCTTAGTAAAACAAGCAATTAAAATGTTACTATTTGCCGTCTGTCTGTTTGTCTGTCTATCATCTATCTATCTGTCTGTTTCTGCTTGTCTGTATGCCAGTCTGTCGGTCTATAGGGATGTGTCTATCTGTCTGTTTCTACCTGTCTGTCTGTCTGTCTCACCTACATTTAAGAACTACTTTCAACCACCACCTGCCACTAGCATCAAACAGCAAATTCTGAAAAGTTATGTCGACCTGCAGCAACAATTTATCGCCACTGTTCCATCTACCATTATGGTTCTTTATAATTCAATTCTGTCCTGTTGTCTATTATAGAAAGTCCAGTTTCGGACACAAGCAGGCAATCATCGCAGAGAACAGACGACGGGGAAGTCCGTCAGACCTCATTCATTGACCATTCTTTGAAAAACGACAGTCAGCCAAGGGAAATAATCACAGATCTCATCAAAAAGTGCAAGGATGCTGGTATTACCTACCCTGAATCCACCATTGACAATGATGAAGAAGAAAACAGCCAGCTTGAAGGTTAGTTCTGTCGTTTGTACATCCTTTCCTCTTGGTTTGGTTTCTTGTAAATCGTCTTCTTTTGTACTGATAGCAGTATGCTTATATGTTTATGTCATCGTTGTACTTGTTTGCTATAAATGGAGGTTTGTATTTCATTGCACAGTAATGTCTCCTGTGCATATTCTGTTGTCCCCATGTGGGATGCAATTTTTGGTTATTTTTAGCACCATCCTGACTTTTGCCGGGGTCTTGAATATACAGCCGGGCCATAAATCTGGCCTAACGGCTGAGAGGGGTTTCTGAAACCTCTCCACGGGTGATCCTTATCCGCATGGTGGCACTTTGTGTCACCGGGTGTTTATCGCCTGTGTGATGTCCTGGTGGGGTACAGAGAGAGAGAGAGAGAGGGGGGGGGGGGGGTCTTTGCAAGACAGTTATGGAGAACACACTGTTGTATTAGACTTCCCCCCCCCCCCCCCCCCCCCCAATTTTTTTTTAAAAGTTTTCTGATGGTTTGGTCAAGTTTCAGACTGTTGTGTGAGACCCCAACATTTGTGTGAGATTCCAACTGTTTTGTCTGATCCCTAGCTGTTGTGAAAGACCCCTACCTATTGTGTGAGATCATATACATGCTGCTGTATGAGACCAACCCCCAACTGTTTCAGAACACACAGCGCACATGATGATGATGCATTGTCAAATCTGTTTTCTGTCCAACTGTCCTCTTGTCTCGTCTGAATGTATCATGTCTTTGCCATAGCTGTCCTCCTCCTTCTTTTTCTTCTTTTTCTTCTTCTTCTTCTTCTTCTTCTTCTTTTTCTTCTTCTTCTTCTTCTTCTTCTTCTTCTTCTTCTTCTTCTTCTTTTTCTTCTTCTTCTTCTTATTCTCCTTCTTCTTCTTCTTGTTCATATTCACCAACTGTAAACTCTTGTGGAAAGTTCTGTGTGTTCGTTCGTCCACCTCCAGACTTTAGTTTTGTTCAAGAACCTGAATGTTGCGTCTTATTTGTGTGTAGACTTGGTTTCTTGCCTGTGAGGCACTCTGAACGAAGCCCAGAATTAGTTGACTCCTAGGACATGCTTGTTGGGGAGGCAGTGGGTGTGTTTTTGGTTTTCCCTTATAATGGGGCCCCAGAACACAAACAGGGACCATAGCTGTTCAGACTGATGTTTTATTTACTGTGTACATATAGCTAGTGATTTGTTATTTTTACATGTAAAGTGTGTGTGTTTATGTATGTGTGCGTGCATGAGAGAGAGAGACAGAGAGAGAGAGGGAGAGAACATAACATGTTATTTCATGTCTACATATGGCAAATTATATTTTCTATGCAAATACAACATGTTTTGTTTCTGTAAATATAATAAATTGTATTTTATGCATCTTTATAACATCATTTCATCTGTATGTATAACATATTTTTTGTGTTGTTATAAAATGTATGTGTAAATATAACAAGTAATATTTAATGTGTGTGTGTGTGTGTGGTTGGTTTCAGGTCAACATATGTTGGAGGAAGAATACATACTTAAGTGTATGTACTGTGAGGCCACATACACCCGGGCCATCCTCTTGCGTGACCACATGCGCAACCTGCACCCTGACAGGCCGGTGCGGTACCAGTGTCCCAAGTGTGAGCAGACCTTTCTGCTCAAGTCTCACCTGGACAAACACCTGGCCCTACATTCACCAACATCACAGTCCTGTAAGGTGAGGAAAAGAACTACTGCCTTCATCTGTTTGCTGTTTCACGTGTGAACACTTTTAATCCATGCTATTTTTTGGTGTAAAGATCTGTAATGATGTAATGAAACGGACCGATTCGGTGGTACTCACAGGATAGGCCATCACAGCGGTGTTTGTTAGGACATTCTATGAGAAGAAGATAAGGCAGGCTACATAAATGGTTAGGACATTCTAAGGGAAAAAGGTCGACAAGGCTACATAAATGTTTAGAACATTGGGAAAAGATAAAACAGGCTGTATGCTTAGGACATGTGTAAAGAAGGTACAGTGGAGTTAATTACTGTTGAATATTGTGTGTAAATAAACTGGAATGGTCTGCATAAACATTTAGGACATTCTGTGTAAAGTAAGTTGGGTAGTCTAAGGTATACAGAAGGTGGTTGTGTCACCAAGAATTGTTGACTCACACAGCTGTGTTCCATTTCACTGAACATCCGTGTCCTTGTGTCTCCAGGTCTGCCAGAAAACATTCGCCAATGTTTACCGCCTCCAGCGCCACATGATCAGCCACTCGGAGTCCACAGACCTTCGCAAGTTCAAGTGTCCCGAGTGTGGCAAGGCCTTCAAGTTCAAGCATCATCTCAAAGGTAGGCACTCCTTCACCCAAGAACATCGTACAAGAACATCATAGATACGTGGTATACAAACTGACAAGGTACCAGCATTGCAAAGGTAGAAATATCTTAGAGCAGGTCCCTCTGCAGCCACATGAGTCATATCCTAACCCCCCCCCCCCCCCCCCCCCCCCCGTGTGGGTTCCGGGGCCCTATTGTGGGGAAAACAAGAATAGACCCACTGCCTCCCCAAAAGCATGTCGTAAGAGTCGACTAACTGGGGAGCTTCCTTTGAAGTCGGAGTGCATCTGCCTGAGAGGCAAGGAACCAGCAGTCTGCATTCAATTGATTCAGATCTGTAGAACTGATGCACACGCAGCACTCAGGTTCTGGAACAGGACTGCAGTCCAGAAGTGGACGAACAACCAGAACTTTACACCAGAGTTTACAGCTGGTGAACGCGAAGAAGAAGATATCCTAACCTTTGACCTTCACTGGTCACAGTTATGTTGTCATGAGGGTCACAGCAAAAACTAATAGAAGTCGTTTAGAACAAATTATTGCTTGTGAAGGGCCGCATGCATCCCACTGGCTGAATTTTGAGGTGCCGGTCTTAGAGTATTTAGAGACATCTTTCCACATGTTGAAACATCACCCATGAAACATATAAACATCACCACAATGGTATAGATGCCCAAAGGTTGCAAATAAAAGAAAGTGTGAAATATTGTTGACTGAAGTGTGGGTGACTCTTTAGGTGTGGGCAAGGCTGTAGGTGTGGTTGATACAGTAGACATGTTGTATGTGTGGTAAATGGGTATTATGTTGTATGTGTGGTAAGTGAATATTATGTTGTCTCTGATTGCATCATATAAATACATTATGTTGTATGCCTGGTATATGGACAGTAATCTACATATGTTGTAAATATAAATATTGTGTTGTATGATTTTATAATTGGATATTATGTTGTATATTTGGAATATGGAAACTATTTTGTATGGGTGGTAAATAGATGTTAGGTTGAATATGGTATATGGATGTTATGTTGTGTATGTGTGTGTGATATTATGTTGTATGTGTAGTAAATGGATATTATATTAATCTTCCCCAGAACATATCCGAATCCACTCTGGAGAAAAGCCATTCCAGTGCCTGACTTGTTGCAAGCGGTTCTCTCACTCGGGCTCCTACAGTAGTCACATGACCTCCAAGAAGTGCTGGGTCATAGGGCAGAACAAGGGCCAGGGTCGTCGCCAGGAGCAACAGTCGGAGGAAGGTCGAGGTCACAACAGCGGAGCTGGAGGAGGGTACCCAGGAGAAGGAGAAGGGGGACATTTTATGTTCCCACCTGTTGGACAGGTGTACTCCCAGTCTGTAGGGAGACTGTCTCCAGGTATGTGTAATCTTAGATGTAAGAGGTAGTCGTCCAGTTGCTAGAGGAAATAGGTGATCATGTAACGGACTAGAACAGACAGATGTGCTAGATGCGATCCGGTGCTGTACTGCTAAACAACAACAAAAACTCGTCACTTTCAACCAGCATTTCCAAAGGGGGAGCTTTAGGTTATAATTGTGATTAGGTTATGTGCACCATAAAAATGGCTTAACATTGCACGCCACCAAGAGCCCTGGAAAGGTCTCTCCTGCACAGCTGATGCCATCCAAGGAGACAGACCCAAATACTGTCCCGGCTGGCGACAAAGTCATCTGCCGACAAGCCAGCCAGGTGACCTGATCGCAGATGGATATCGTGGATGCATCCGAGTGAAAGATGTGGAGGAGCTGATCAGAGGGTCAACAGCTGGTGACCCAAGGACATGCATGTATCACTGACTGAAGTAGATACGAAGCTGATACACAGGACTGTCGGTAATCATGTAAAGTCTTGCACTGATTGCTCTTAGTTTGAGTGTTTTATAATTGTACAAGCTGCTCATTCATTTTGAGAACTAATAGACAACCATGGTTGGGGCATGTCCAAAACATTCCTGATAACAGGGGGAGACAACTGCGTACATAAAAGTGCTGACTGGGTGTAGAGCAAGAAGATGGTGGAGAAATAATATACAGGTAGACATACAGACACTTGGAGTCACCAACTGGACAGAGAAGGCTGGTCACAGAGACCAACGCAGGTGGATGATATCTGCTGCAGTCAACCTCAAGGGATCCCCAAAGAAAAAGAAAAGTTTATAATTTCCTTGCCGTGTGTCCCTTCATGTTTAACACCCCGTGATGATTCTGGGACCCCATTGTGGGAAAAACCAGAATAGACCCACTGTCTTCCCCTAAATAAGCATGTCATAGGGGGCACTTTTTAAAGTCTGATTACATCTGCCTGGGAGGCAAGGAACTAAGATTCTGCATACACATAAGCCACATGTGTGAAACAGATGTGCACACAACACTCAGATTCTGCAACAAAACTAAAGCTCAGATTTGAACCATCACCAAGAACTTTCCATCAGAGTTTTCAGCCAATGAGCTAAAAGAAGAAGAGATTGCTACTGGAACTAAATAATTGATTCATCCTTTACTATGTGACGGTGTCCTGATTTGATCTTTATGTTTGTTTTTCAGGTTCATACCCTCAGCCTTTCCTCAAGTTTGATCCTTCTGCCCCTCCAATGCGGCACCAGTTCTATGCAACCCCTCATCCTCCCATCACTTCTGCCATGATGACCGCCTCTCAGAACACTATTGCTTTGAGTCTATATCATCAGAAAATGGCATCTTCAGCGTCATCCCCATCAGTAGTGACAGCCACCACTGGGATCCCCTTGCCTCCTCCGCCACTTCCTTTGGCTGCAATGCCTCCAGTGACAGCCCACAGCCACCAGCAGTTAAACATTCCATTCCACCTCCTGCATCATCCGTTGAATTCAATACAAGATGCCCACTCCTCTTCCCCTTTATCCTGGCAGAGAGCAGCTGAGGATCGCCAGAAGCAGAGCCCTGATGTCCAGGGAACAGGGCAAGTTCCGCCTGACCCTAGACCCAGCCTGCTGCGGGTCACACGTCAGGAAGGGTCCCGCATACCTAGCAGCCATCCTATGCTTTCATCATCACCAACAGCAGTATCTCTGGGTAAAAGTAAAGACAGAGAGGAGAAGAAGGAGGTCTCGGGAAGAAGCGGTCTTAGTTTGGAAAGAGCTGGCAAAGTGGCCGCCGATTTCATCAGAAGAATGGAAACTAAGATGGATGGAAAGAAGTGTGACAACTCCAAGCAGTTCAGCCATGAAATGGATGTGAGCCAGAATAAACCAGATAAAAGAAGCTCAAAGGAGAATGATGCAGCAGAAAGCAAGGTCAAATTACTGAAAGATGTCAAAGAGGAGATTTTGTCAGAAGAGGATGAAGACAGAAGAAAATTTGATGCTAAGAAGGAGGGAAAGATTGCAGCGGATACCTCCAAGAAAGTAAAGAAAGAGAAGCGAACACCAGATGTTGATATGGAAGGTGTTGAAGACATCACAGATTTGATTGTTGGGGAAGTCAAGCTGGAAATGAAGGATTCACAAGATGGAGACCTACAGACTTGTCGCTACTGCAAGAAAGATTTCCTCAGTCCTGTGTCACTGCATCAGCACGAAAGGTATCAGTGTGAACACAACCATGACATTCAGAAGGCTATCGGGGAAACCAAGCCCAAGTCGACTGAACCAGGAAATAGCCCTAGGGAAGGCAAGGCAGCAGACAGTCTAGATGACAGCTTCAAAGAGGAACAGAGAAGTCCTTCCATTACCAGCAATAGTTATTCTCATTCTGAATCTGAAGATGATGATGAAGATGATGATGATGACGAGGATGATGAAGATGAGGATGAGGAGGAGAACATGCCTGCTGCAGTAAGCACAGGATCCAAGCTAATGACAGCCTTGACTGACAACCAGATACAGCACTTGAGAGCTTGCTACAGGGACAACCAGGAGCCGGCCGAGCCAGCCATGGAAGAGATTGGGAACATCATTGGAGCTTCAAAGATCATGGTTCAGGTCAGTGTTTCTTCCTATATTCATTTAGTGTCTGTCTAAAGACAGGACCATTCCTGTTTCATTGCAGTCTTAATGGTGTATTTATATATGGCATAGTTTTCTGAATGAGTCCTGTTATCTACATCCTACTTGTGACTCTCGCCTACTGATTTGAATGCCATGGGTTTAAATCAAGCCAGATTTAAAATTAAAATAAATAAAATCAAAAACCTTGGCTCTCAGGTCAACCCAGCCTAAATGGGTACCGGAAGTAAAGGCAGCCGGTGTGATGTTGACCAAATTACTCACTGCATGACAGTTGGTGTATAAAATATATTCATAGTACTGTATACCCACTAATAATACACGCATCTGAAGACATGGAAAATGGTCTTTTTACTTTACTTACATTTTATGTACATGTTACTGAAGAGGCTTTGCTAGTGTTTGACCTTAGTGTCTGTCAGCACAGATTCCTGACTGTGTCGTCACAGCTGTAACTTGTATGTCTTTCTTTCCATACACAGGCCTGTAGTGTCTGTCAGCACAGATTACTGACTGTGTTGTCACAGCTGTAACTTGTATGTCTTTCTTTCCCCTTTGAAGACCTTTAGTGTCTGTCAGCACAGATTCCTGACTGTGTTGTCACAGCTGTAACTTGTATTTCTTTCTTTCCCCTTGAAGACCTGTAATGTCTGTCAGCACAGATTCCTGACTGTGTTGTCATAGCTGTAACTTGTATTTCTTTCTTTCCCCTTGAAGACCTGTAATGTCTGTCAGCACAGATTCCTGACTGTGGCGTCACAGCTGTAATTTGTATTTCTTTCTTTACCCTTTGAAGACCTGTAGTGTCTGTCAGCACAGATTCCTGACTGTGTTGTCGTAGCTGTAACTTGTATGTCTTTCTTTTCCTTTGAAGACCTGTAATGTCTGTCAGCACAGATTCCTGACTGTGTTGTCACAGCTGTAACTTGTATTTCTTTCTTTCCCCTTGAAGACCTGTAATGTCTGTCAGCACAGATTCCTGACTGTGTCATCACAACTGTAACCTGTATGTCTTTCTTTCCTCTCATCTACAGGTTTGGTTCCAGAACGCCAGAGCCTATGACAGCAGACGACAGAGCAGATCTCTGGGTAAAACCCCTAGAAGAAGAAATACTAGCGGCACCACTACTTCAACATCCCCCTCAACTTACATTCCTATTGTCCCCAATCCTTACGCTGTTTTGTACCATCACCGCAAGCTCAGCAGCACCACTGACTGTGATGCCCGGTCATCGCCGAGTCCTTTAAATTACTCAAGTGCCGCTTTGCTGACTCTGCCATCAGAAGACCAGCCTTTAGATTTGAGTGTTCGCAAGCAGCAGCCACCAAGAGCTCATGAACACCACCACATGAGCCAGCTGCCCGTCCATCTTAACGCAGGCTGCATCAGCTCCGAAGACCGGGTCCTTAACCTGAGTAACAAAGTTCCCAAACTGGAATCTGTATCTCCGGCTGGCTCAGTGAAGCTGGAATCCTCATACACCACAGTCACAACACCAAACCGATGTTCCTCCAGAGAGTCCACAGCCTCTTCCACGCGCTAAACAGTTGCCTTCCCACCCACTAATTCTCTCCGAGCTGGAGTGTCTGGAGGTTGCTGCCAGACACATGGACAGCAGCAGGTTCCAGCACTCTGACATCTTCAAGTACATGACACAGAAGGGTTTGTTTAAGAGTGGCTTCCCCTCCCTGGTGGACAGCAACAACCTCCACCGCAAGTTCTCTCCCTCGGTTCTCAACCCAGCCCTCCTGGCACAGATCACTGGCATCATCCCACCCAACAACCACCACCCGCACCAGGACAGCCCTGGCAAAACTGGGTCAGCGGGGGGAACAGACAGCCACAGCTGCTCACCTCACAAGATAGGTCAGTTCTGTTATTATTGTTTTGTGCTGCAATTTGTACATTTACATTTCAGGTCATAATCTTCTGCCTTATGCCTTCTTATTTTATGTATTCCTTCTCATCTCATCTTTGATGCATGCTAATCCAGATTTAGTAGTGAACTCTGCTGTTAACTTGATTTTGTTGGTGTACACATACACCCACACATTGCACCCACAAGCACACACACATATCTACACACACTGTTCTTCTCTTCTTGTTTTTGCTCTTTTATGATTATATTTGATAACCATCCTTCCCCCGTGTGGGTTCCGGGGCCCTGTTATAAGGAAAACAAGAATAGACCCACTGCCTGCCCAAAAGCATGTCGTAAGAGTCGACTAATTGGGAGCTTCCTTCGAAGTCGGAATGCATCAGCCTGAGAGGCTAGGAACCAACAGTCTGCACACAGATGTGTCAGATCTGTCAAACGGATGCACACGCAACACTCAGGTTCTGGAAGAACAGGACTGCAATCCAGAAGCGGATGAACAACCAGAACTTTCCACTAGAGTTTACAGCTGGTGAACGCAAAGAAGAAGAAGAAGAAGATAGCCATCCAGTATAAATTTGCCACTGTCATATCCACCACCCTATTCCATATGTTTTGTTCCCTGAACTTCTATGAGCAATGTGTGACGACTGTGTGACCAATGTATGACCAGTATGTGACAACTGTGTGACCAATGTATGACCAGTATGTGAGCAGTGTGTGACCAATGTGTGAGCATGTAATCAGAGATGATACATTTATCTGTTCCAGATGAAACACCATCTACTCCATTCTCCAAGAAACTGGTCATCGATGGACCAGGTCAAGTGGAGAGCACTCTGGCCGATCACAAACTACATCATGACAAAATGAGTGCCCTTGAGGGGGAACTGAGAAAGTTCATGGAAACTCAAGGCAACCTTCAGACCCTGGCCAATGTTGCCTCACTGGAGGAGTTCAGAGCTATGGCAGCTGCTGAAGGCAAGAGGAAGCGAAAGAAAACTTCCAAACAGGTACATTTAACAAGACATTATCTTTCATTTGCTTTCTTCTTCATTCGATGTTTTCTTCCCTCTGAGCATATCTTTTTTTTTTTTTTTTTTTTTTCAAATCTATTTCTGTTTTTGCCTCTAGTTCCTGCTGCTGCTTCTTCTACATTTGTCCATAAAGGGTGATTTGCATGTTGTGGTATATAGCTGGCCTGCAGCAGCTCTGCCTTTCAGTCCAACACATACAGTTTCAGCAAACTCTTAGCCCAACACATACAGTTTCAGCAAACTCTTAGCCCAACACATACAGTTTCAGCAAACTCTTAGCCCAACACATACAGTTTCAGCAAACTCTTAGCCCAACACATACAGTTTCAGCAAACTTTTAGCCCAACACATACAGTTTCAGTAAACCTTTAGTCCAACACATACAGCTTCAGTAAACCTTTAGTCCAACACATACAGTTTCAGTAAACCTTTAGCCCAACACATACAGCTTCAGTAAACCTTTAGTCCAACACATACAGTTTCAGTAAACCTTTAGCCCAACACATACAGTTTCAGCAAACTTTTAGTCCAACACATACAGTTTCAGTAAACCTTTAGCCCAACACATACAGTTTCAGTAAACTTTTAGCCCAACACATACAGTTTCAGTAAACCTTCAGCCCAGCACATACAGTTTCAGTAAACCTTTAGCCCACCACATACAGTTTCAGTAAACCTTTAGCCCACCACATACAGTTTCAGTAAACCTTTAGCCCACCACATACAGTTTCAGCAAACTCTTAGCCCAACACATACAGTTTCAGTAAACTCTTAGCCCAACACATACAGTTTCAGTAAACCTTTAGCCCAACACATACAGCTTCAGTAAACCTTTAGCCCAACACATACAGTTTCAGTAAACCTTTAGCCCAACACATACAGCTTCAGTAAACCTTTAGCCCACCACATACAGCTTCAGTAAACCTTTAGCCCAACACATACAGTTTCAGTAAACCTTTAGTCCAACACATACAGTTTCAGTAAACCTTTAGCCCAACACATACAGTTTCAGTAAACCTTTAGTCCAACACATACAGTTTCAGTAAACCTTTAGCCCACCACATACAGCTTCAGTAAACTCCCTAATCACTCACCGTTTATAACATGCTGGTTAAGAAACTGTGGGTCAGTTCTGTTTTATCCCTAAAATGGGATCCCAGAACCCACGCCCTGGTACCTGCAGTTCCAATTTCTTTCTCTTATCAATTTTGCACTCGCAGTTCCAGTGTCTTTCACTTATAAATGTTGAACCTACAATTCCAATTTCTCTCCCTTATCAATTTTGTTCCTGCAATTGCAATGTCTTTCCCCTATCAGTTTCTCTGTCAGTACAGAGTCATTAATTCAATAGGTTTCTGGAGGGATGATGTGGGCAATCAGTGCCTGAAGAATACAGATGTTTCAGCCAGAAGTTGCAGTAAATAATCACAACGTAGTCACATCCTTTGATGATGAAGAAGAAGCAGGAGAAAAATCCAAGGTTAACTGAGGTGACCAGTTCTTTAACTCTTTATATTTCTGGAAGATTTGATTAAACCTGAAAGTAACAACACTTCTCTTCCGACAGATGTCTTCTCTGAATTATCAGGTGGAAACTGAGGAAATCAGGATGGATGACCACGAGGACTCCATGGGCAACACTGATGACGATGGAGGGTCGCCTCGCAAGAGGAGGAGATCCTGGAAGGGTCATCGGATCAGCGAGGAGCTGGGCATGTATGCCTGCGACCAGTGTGACAAACAGTTCAGTAAGCAGAGTTCCCTGGCACGGCACAAGTATGAGCACTCAGGTAGTTATTCCTTGTCTCTTTATGACATCTCTTTTTTTGTTCCAGTTTGTTGCAGACACTTAACTTTGTCTGTTCTTTACATGTCACTGCACCTCAACTTTACACCTCGCCTTGTCTGTTCTTTTCCTCCCATCTAGACAGTTCTTTACACCTCACCTTGTCTGTTCTTTTCCTCCCATCTAGACCATTCTTTGCACCTCACCTTGTCTGTTCTTTTCCTCCCATCTAGATCATTCTTTGCACCTCACCTTGTCTGTTCTTTTCCTCCCATCTAGACCATTCTCTGCACCTCACCTTGTCTGTTCTTTACGTCCCATCTAAACTGTTCTTTACACCTCACCTTGTCTGTTTTTTCCCATCTAGATTCTTCTTTACACTTCACCTTGTCTGTTCTTTTCCTCCCATCTAGATCATTCTTTACACCTCATTTATGTTTATTTTTTTACATCATTTTTTATCTTGTCTTCGTACCACCTTATCTCTTCTTAACATCATTCCTTATCTTTTTTAACCTTATCTCTTCTTGATCATTCAATATCTCTTTATACCATTCATAGTTTCTTCTTTACAGTTGTCTTCTTTTTTACTTTGTTGTTTTTTGTTTACCCTATTCTCTCTCTCTCTCTCTCTCTCTCTCTCTCTCTCTCTCTCTCTCTCTCTCTCTCTCTCTCTCTCTCTCTCTCTCTCTCTCTCTCTCTCTCTCTCTCTCTCTCTCTCTCAAACTTTTATTTTTGTGTGTGTGTTTTTTTCAACCTATTATTTGTCTCTTTTTTTAACTCTATTGTTTGTCTTATTTTACCTTATTCTTTGTCCATTATTCTCAGTCCATTTGTTTGCACTCTGCATCACACTTGTGTCCAATCTCTGCATCACGCTTGTGTCCAATCTCTGCATCACACTTGTGTCCAATCTCTGCATCACACTTGTGTCCAATCTCTGCATCACACTTGTGTCCAATCTCTGCATCACACTTGTGTCCAATCTCTGCATCACACTTGTGTCCAATCTCTGCATCACACTTGTGTCCAATCTCTGCATCACACTTGTGTCCAATCTCTGCATCACACTTGTGTCCAATCTCTGCATCACACTTGTGTCCAATCTCTGCATCACACTTGTGTCCAATCTCTGCATCACACTTGTGTCCAATCTCTGCATCACACTTGTGTCCAATCTCTGCATCACACTTGTGTCCAATCTCTGCATCACACTTGTGTCCAATCTCTGCATCACACTTGTGTCCAATCTCTGCATCACACTTGTGTCCAATCTCTGCATCACACTTGTGTCCAATCTCTGCATCACACTTGTGTCCAATCTCTGCATCACACTTGTGTCCAATCTCTGCATCACACTTGAGTCCAATCTCTGCATCACACTTGTGTCCAATCTCTGCATCACACTTGTGTCCAATCTCTGCATCACACTTGTGTCCAATCTCTGCATCACACTTGTGTCCAATCTCTGCATCACACTTGTGTCCAATCTCTGCATCGCACTTGTGTCCAATCTCTGCATCACACTTGTGTCCAATCTCTGCATCACACTTATGTCCAATCTCTGCATCACACTTGTGTCCAATCTCTGCATCACACTTGTGTCCAATCTCTGCATCACACTTGTGTCCAATCTCTGCATCACACTTGTGTCCAATCTCTGCATCACACTTGTGTCCAATCTCTGCATCACACTTGTGTCCAATCTCTGCATCAAACTTGTGTCCAATCTCTGCATCACACTTGTGTCCAATCTCTGCATCACACTTGTGTCCAATCTCTGCATCACACTTGTGTCCAATCTCTGCATCAAACTTGTGACCAATCTCTGCATCACACTTGTGTCCAATCTCTGCATCAAACTTGTGACCAATCTCTGCATCACACTTGTGTCCAATCTCTGCATCACACTTGTGTCCAATCTCTGCATCACACTTGTGTCCAATCTCTGCATCAAACTTGTGACCAATCTCTGCATCACACTTGTGTCCAATCTCTGCATCACACTTGTGTCCAATCTCTGCATCACACTTGTGTCCAATCTCTGCATCACACTTGTGTCCAATCTCTGCATCACACTTGTGTCCAATCTCTGCATCACACTTGTGTCCAATCTCTGCATCACACTTGTGTCCAATCTCTGCATCACACTTGTGTCCAATCTCTGCATCACGCTTGTGTCGAATCTCTGCATCACGCTTGTGTCCAATCTCTGCATCACACTTGTGTCCAATCTCTGCATCACACTTGTGTCCAATCTCTGCATCACGCTTGTGTCCAATCTCTGCATCAAGCTTGTGTCCAATCTCTGCATCACACTTGTGTCCAATCTCTGCATCACACTTGAGTCCAATCTCTGCATCACGCTTGTGTCCAATCTCTGCATCACACTTGTGTCCAATCTCTGCATCACACTTGTGTCCAATCTCTGCATTCTGTTTTGTGCTGTACTCTCTACAACCAAACCATTGGATGTCCAACAGGAGCCAGGCCCTTTCACTGTGAGATCTGTAACAAAGCCTTCAAACACAAGCACCACCTGACGGAGCATCGCAGACTGCACAGCGGGGAGAAGCCTTTCAAGTGTCGCAAGTGTGGCAAACGCTTCTCACATTCAGGCTCTTACAGCCAACACATGAACCACAGGTAACTGAGACTTTGGGTTCAATTCCTCTTTATTGTGGGTAGAGACTTTCGGCAAGGTAATATAAATAAATGAGATAAACGTTAACAGTTAGTGATCATTGAGACTGGGGGGGTGTAGTTACAAGACAGAGAATGTCAGGGGGTAAAGAAATGTTCTGGCTTTAGATATACTAGTAGTTACCTTGTAATGAGATGGAATGCTCACGTCTCTGTCTAGGCATGTTTCCTGTCTGGGACATTATTGAGAACACTTGTCTTCACTTATGTTAAAGGTATAAGACTGATGATGGACACTTATGGTTTGACTAATGTTACTGTTACAGAACTTCAGTGTGTGGGTTCTTAGGCCCCATTGTGTGGGTTCTGGGGTCCCAATATGTGGGTTCTGAGGCCCCATTGTGTGGGTTCTGAGGCCCCATTGTGTGGGTTCTGGGGTCCCAATGTGTGGGTTCTGAGGCCCCATTGTGTGGGTTCTGGGGTCCCAATGTGTGGGTTCTGGGACATCATTGTTGGTCAAAACAAGAATAGACCCACTGCCTCCCCAACGAGCATGTCATAGGAGTCGACTAAGTGCATGTGGGGGGGGGGGGGGGGGGTCGAGAGAATTCCTTTGAACCTTTGAAAAAGTACATCTACTGCCTAAGAAGGAAGGAACCAATAGTCTGCATATGAATAAGGCAGATATGTGAAACATGTGTGCATGCAACATCAGGTTCTCGAACGAGACTAAAGTCTAAAGTCCCAGAACTGTCCACCAAAGTTTATAGCCGGTGAAAGAAGAAGTTACAACACTGTTCAGACAGACATAGTTAATTGACTGTACACTGTTTAGACAGACATAGTTAATTGACTGTACACTGTTCAGACAGACATAGTTAATTGACTGTACACTGTTCAGACAGACATAGTTAATTGACTGTACACTGTTCAGACAGACATAGTTAATTGACTGTACACTGTTCAGACAGACATAGTTAATTGACTGTACAAACAGGCATAGTTAAGTGAATGTTAAGGTGTATCACATCTTAAGTGTTAAATTGTGTTACATCCCCTCAATACATGTTCTGTTTGTGCAATCTTAGATACAAGTTTTGTAAACCATCTGATGGCGAAGATGACGATGTTACCGCTGGCTCCGGCAAGGAGGATTAGATGTCTGCTGGTCAAATCTCTGACAGCCACAAGTTGTTGCCCTGCAGTTGGAGCGCAATGTTCCTAGTCTAAATCAGATGATGATTTGATGAAGTGACTACCAGTTTGTAAAAAGTCAAAAAATGCCAGGTTCAGTCTGGGAAAACAGATGTTGACCCTGGCAGGTCAACAGTCAGAGTTAAAGTGTCAAGTACAAAGTTATATGTCAGTTTTTTTTGGCCTGAACGTTTTAAAAATGCTTCATATATTTGATGGCTAGTCCAGGGAATCCTTGCTGGGGTCTTGTGGTGACCGAGAATGTTTTACCCTGTCAGAATGTTGGTTTGACTTCTGTGCATGTAGATCCACCATCTTGTGAGGCCGTCGTTAAAAATGTGTGGGTTTTGACAGGAAATAGAAACCCTCAAAAGCAAGATTTTCCGTCAGCAAGACAGTCAGTCAGTGCAGGGGACATTTGACTCTTGGCTCTTGACAAAAGCATATGATGGCCTGAATGGTGATAGTTCAGCAGGAAGATATATGTACAGTCACACACCGAGACAATGGAGGTACAATCTTCCATTGTGTTGGCGTTGTCTAATTTTGTCTGCTAGAACTGTGTGTGTACCTGTTTGTTTCTTCATCTCATGTATGATGTGTCCTTGGCTGGAAATCTGTCAGCTTGCAATGTCTGATGTGTTCTTGGCTGGAAATCTGTCAACTTGCAATGTCTGATGTGTCCTTGGCTGGAAATCTGTCAACTTGCAATGTCTGATGTGTTCTTGGCTGGAAATCTGTCAACTTGCAATGTCTGATGCTGTGTCATTTAGCCTCATGTGGTTTTGTACGGCCCACACAGGTTGTGGAGTGTGGGAGAATCACTTTTGCCTTTTTGTGTTCACTATAAAGAGGGTATAAGGTTTCTGCTGTCTTTACACAAGATTGTCTTGTGGGGGTTGAGGGAGTGATGTCTTGTGGGGGGTTGAGGGAGTGATGTCTTGTGGGGGTTGAGGGAGTGATGTCGTGTGGGGGGTTGAGGGAGTGATGTGGGGGTTGAGGGAGTGATGTCTTGTGGGGTTGAGGGAGTGATGTCTTGTGGGGGTTGAGGGAGTGATGTCTTGTGGGGGTTGAGGGAGTGATGTCTTGTGGGGGTTGAGGGAGTGATGTCTTGTGGGGGTTGAGGGAGTGATGTCTTGTGGGGGTTGAGGGAGTGATGTCTTGTGGGGGTTGAGGGAGTGATGTCTTGTGGGGGTTGAGGGAGTGATGTCTTGTGGGGGTTGAGTGAGTGATGTCTTGTGGGGGTTGAGGGAGTGATGTCTTGTGGGGGTTGAGTGAGTGACATGGGATAGGGATTGTTGTGTTTGTTGTTGAGGTATGGTTAGGGATGTGCATATAAAGGGATTGATTATTCTCTTTTGTTTAAAAATGTTATATTTTTTAATATAATTGTTATAGTTGAGTTGACAAAGAACCAATCACAATTGTGTATTCCACTTGTTTTTCTTATATAAGTTTGACATTCTTTTTGGTGTCTGTTGTGTGACCTGATCACAAATTTGGCTCCAGCAATGCCTACATGCAATATGTATTCTAGTCACTTAATCATAACATGTATTGATCTTATGTAATCATATGATGTAATGGTATGATGTAATTATGTACAGGGACCACCTAACCAGCTTCATTTGATTAGTGTTGTTACTGTTGTCGTAGTCAGACCAATGTGTCCTCTTTAATTTGTACGTACATCTGTATGTTGTTTGTGGAGAAGTCTTGTGTGTGTTTGCTCCAGCAAATCATATAACCATATCCGAGTATGTCCTCCAACAAAGGATATACCCATATACTTCCTTTACTTCCAGGAACAATTTCTGGTTTCATTTTTCAGGCTATGACAACCTGAAAGCTTAGATCAGTTGGCAACAAGAACAGTGAAGTGCACTGTAGACTAGCAGGCAGGGTACTAGTCACTATACCATACATACCTCCTAGTCGTCCGTCACGCAAAATATTTTGAAAATATTGCATCCAAGTTTTTTAGATAATTATTTTAATATTGTAAAGTAAACTGACATTTTTTTATGTTTATGTTACAGTTTTTTAGTGTAGTTTTTCAATTTGGAGATTTTTAATTATCTTCATCTGATTTTTAGTGACAACTTTGAGCTTTCAGTTTGGCAATGAAATGTCAAGTCCCGTTGTGTAAGCCATACCCACGATTCCCACACAAGATTTCCCCACAAGATTCCCACACAAGATTTCCCCACAAGATTCGCACAAAAGCGCATACAAATGTTACCGTTATTTCATATTCAACCTGTATTCCAGATGTTGTTACCTGTTGTTGTTTCTTTATTCCAGGATTGTTTCTTTTACACAGTATTACTTGTATTCCGCTGCTTCCAACTTTTTAATTGTTACCTCTATGTTAAGAACAATTTAACTGTTATAGCTTCATGTTCTTTATTTCAGTCACCTTTTGGTGAACTTTATTTCAGGTAAACAGTCGGCACAAATTAACATTACCAGCTGTTGAAAAAGGAAGAGAAAGAAAAGAAACAAAATATTTACTGTACATAGATTTGCAAACTAGTTTTTTGGGAGCTGCACTAATTGAATAAAGATGATTTACCACTTTACTGAAAAAAAATTTCTTAAGTAAGAGAAACTTCATAAAGTTAAATGAAATCATGACCTATCATTTGTAATTTTTGTTTGTTTTTGGGGTGACATATTAATAATAATAAATCATATTATAGTGAGACAGACTGCTGGGATTAAATGGGACATTCAGCGCATTTAATAAAAACTTTAATTTGCTGGCAATTGTATGCAGGAATTTGTATCTCAGCCCTGTTGACAGCAGTTAGCTGGAGCTGACTGCATTAAGTCAAGCAGTATTGACAGAAAGCTGTAGAATGTACGGCTCTAGATCAGATGATATACTGTCAAACAGCACTAGGTTGTACTGCAATAGATCAGACATTACTGTCAGACATCACCAGGTTGTACAGCAATAGAACAGACATTACTGTCAGACA